ATAAAACAAACTGTATCTTCTTCTCATTAAAATGTAAGAAGTTTACAGACATTCAGGTCTTTAAATCCTCAAGATTCTTTTTCTAAAGTGGGACATAAACCTGACAATCGTCTTCGTAGAAGTGTGTGTAAATTATGTGCTTTCTAAAAATGGGCCAAAGTGGAAGTAAATAAAAACAGAAGTGAAGAGTCCCTAAAACTGAACCCTGTGGGACTCCACAGGAGAGAGGAGCAGAGAAGGGCACATGATTACCATAGCTGACATGGAAAGTTCACTCTGATAAATACTAACTCACTTCAGTGCTGTGCTCGTTATGCCCACCCACTGCTTTAAACGAGAGAGTAAATCTGAAAGTCCACAGTGTCAAAAGCAGCAATTAAATGTAAAAGCACAAGAACAACACAATCTCCAAAAGTCAGTGGGTATAAATGTCATTAAAATCTTTTAAAAGGCTTGATTTCATACAGTGTAGTGATTTAAAGCAAAAGTGCAAAACCTTTCACAAATATTTTGCTCTATCAAGAAGGCCATCAATTTGTTGTAAACTATCTTCTCAATGATCTTTGAAAGAAAAGGTAATTTTGAGTTTATAGTTAACAACTGCGGGATCTAGAGCAGGTTTCTTAACCAAACTGCTTTTAACAAGCTCAAGAGCACAAGACCCGACAGATGAGGTTTAGGTTTGAGATTTAGATGAGTATTTTTCTGGACCGGAATTACTGTGATACTTTACTTGCAGGTAATGCAAGTAAACCTGAATGTCCTTGGTGCAAGGTGTTGAAGTGGGTAGGAGTTTCACTGTGGAGAAGAACAGGAGAGGTTATTTTTATTTTGCTTGTCTGAGGCAGCTCAGAGTGATGGATCTTGGCGAGTGGAGAGAGCAATTTTATCCACCACCAGGAGCAATGGAGAAGCTAGGGGGTGGTCAGTGGTGGCCTTGGGCACCATAGATTAATCTTTGCCACCCCAAATACCACCCCGATCATTTAAAGAAACTATACTTTTACAAAAGTAGGAAAGAAAAAAGCATTTAGTTTTCTAAAATAATAGGTGTGGACAATTTATGTATAAGTGGCGGTGGCCATCTTGGATTTTGATGTGGCAACCCAATTTTTGATAGTGACCTTTATTATGTCTAGATGCAGCCACATACCAAAATGGAAGTTGGCACATTGCCTAATTTTGACCCAATCACTTGAGGAAACTATACCTTTAAACAATATAAAAACTAGAAAGCATTGTTTCTTGAAATGATTGGGGTGGCTAGTTTACATATATGTATGGTGGTGGCCATGTTGAATTTTGGTGTGGCCACCCAATTTTTGATAATGACCTTTCGTACATCTAGATGCAGCCACACACCAAAATGGAAGGCAGCATGTTGATTTTTTTCTAAGTTATCATGCTTACAACATACACAAACAGCTGGAAAGGCTGATGGATGCATGGACAGAGAGTATTTCCAGTTCCTCCATTTTACTTTGTGACAGGAGACAAAAGGCAGTGAATCCATAATGAAACCTTGGATACCGTAAAAGCAGTGGTGTAGTCTACGCGATACGTGGGCATGAGGAGTATACCCACTAGAAAAGCTTAAGAATTTCAGTATACCCATTTAAAAGTGCCCAGTGATATGTAACATATCACTGGGCACGTGTCATTGATACGTTAAACAGAAGTTAAATGCTTCCGTAACAATCTGTCTGTATGCAGCTCTTGTTTATTACATTTGCTCATCCAGCGAATTATTGTGTAATTCTGTACTTACTACTTATTAATACTTGAACATATTTTGCTTTGATACTGTTTTATAAATTCTATAACATATTTTAATACAAAACCAATTGTTGTACAAAGTTTGTTGTGCATTTATTCAAATTTAAGCATCAGAGAAATTTGGAAATGTTCAGCTTAAAAAGCAAAATAAATTACATTGAACTAACCGGTGTATTTTGGTTTCTAAGCACAGTATACCCACTACAGAAATCTAGATTACACCACTGCATAAAAGTCAGATAATATGTAAATGTAAAAAGTCCTTTTGGCCAGGTAGAATTTAAACTAGGATAAAACTGTCTTTGATAACAACAATCTACTTGAGTTGAGATATTACATTCCACAAGTCAGGTCAGATTTATTTATAAAGCACATTTAAAAACAGCAGCTGTGACCAAAGTGCTGAACAATAAAAACAATGGCAGTAATTTAAAGAAAAACAAATATTAATTTAAAGCAACAAAAGAAAAACATCAAACGCAAAATAATAAAATACTTAAACAAATCACACTGCGTTAAGCGTCAGTGAGAACAGATGTGTTTTTAGAAGAGATTAAAAAACAGGAAGTGAAGTGCCTGTCTAATGTTGGGGGGCAGATTGTTCCAAAGTTTAGGGGCCGCGACTGAAAAAGCCCGATCTCCTCTGAACTTCAATCTGGTTTTTGGTAAAACCACAAGCTAAAGAACTGCAGAGGGTCTTTCCTGTTATACTTTCTTATTGAAACTGTAGTTCCTCGTTACTTCATGGTTCTACTTTTGCGGACTCGCTCTTTCACAGTTTTCAAAAGTAAGATTGTACAAGAGGAAAAAAATTGTACACAACACAAAATTGTCAATTTTGTGTGATTGGGACAGTATGGGATATAGTAAAAAGTTAATCAAAAAAATTTTCGTACAGGCGCCACCATTTTGTAGTTTTCTTTCAATAAGCCTATACTGTATCACCAGTCAAAGGGACTACATATCCCAGAAGCCAACAGTGCTTTCAGTCGTTGCTTTCTGCTGAAATGGAGGGATAGTTCTGATCTGATCCGAAAATGTTTGGTCCTTATTCAAAGTGACTTTGGCGCCCAGTGGATGCAGAGAGCCGTATGGAACCGAACCAGAACCGGACCTCCAGACTCATCAGTCAATCTGAGGGCTGCGTGCTGACCCACAAGGGCTTCTGAGCGGGGAGGCACCACCCGGAGGTCCAGCGTTCTCTCCAGAACCCACTGGGATTTCTCCCATCTGGATTTGGACTCAATCGGGACCACCATGTGGTCCCGTGCTGGCCACCCTAAGGTCCAGCTCCCTCCAAAAGCATTTTGGTGCTCAAGGGCTGCAGAGTCAACCAGAACCGGCAGGGTAGATCCAGCAGGGTAGGTCCAGCAGGTTAGGTATGTCAAACCAGAACCGAGCCGAACCGGAACCAAGCCCCTGTGTTCTGCAGCACTGGTGAATATAATTTTGCAGTAATGCACAGTACATATACTCGTGTTGTTAAAATGACGTAGGTTTGAGAGTTTCGAACATTGTGAGCTTCATTGCAGGGTAGGTCTGCAGAACCGGAACCGAGCTGCTGTACACTACTCACTCAACTTAAAATTTCAAGCTGAGCGAATAAACATTACCAAGTTA